GCCTGTCACCTAACCTAACCATAACTCTCCTACCATGGTCTGAACATAATAATAATACTATAATTATAATTTACAGTAGTAAAATACTAAAATATGTAAATCATACTTGTGAATTAGTTGTGATACTACGTAGTTCGAGTAGGAATTTTACTTTTTAGGTAAAGGAACATAGGAAATTAAATGTAAGTACTAAATATAATTTTGGTTTTGTGTAAAATTTATTTTAATTAATCACAAATTTTTTTTAGCTTATGTTCAAATTGTTTTCCACTGCTGTTGATGCAACATTCAAACCTTTGTGGGATAGATTCATAAACACGGTTTAGCATATCTGATGATATACTTTTACAGCCATTTTTAATGCGCTGTATCAAATCATCTAATGAAGTTGGTTGGGTGGCATACACTATATCTTTAAGGTACCCCCACAAAAAAAAATCAAGAGGAGTCAAATCTGGTGAACGAGGAGGCCATAATATTGGCCCATTTGTACCCATCCATTTTTCAGGAAACTGACTATTCAAGAAGTCTTTGACAATGTTACTGTTGTGAGGTGGAGCACCGTCTTGTTGTAACCACATTTCTTTTCGTACACTTAGGGGTACTTGTTCCAATAAATTGGGTAATTCGTTTGTCAAGAAATTCAAATATCGCACACCTGATAAAAGTATAGGTACTTTAAAAACATAATATTTATCATACACACATAATAGTATAATACATTGTACTTGATGATACTATTTTTTAAAATCTAACAAATGTCATCTTTTTCTTTCATTTCAATACATAACATATAGGTTACATACATAATACAACATTACATTACATATCTTATAATGTACAGTTAATTAACGTTTTACTTAATAAGAAATCACTTATACATTCAAATATTTTTGATACTTAATAAAATGTGTTGCATATTTTAGATGTGCACTTTTTGTAAATTTTAGCTCATAACTACTGACTCATATACTGTATACTGTATTTTACTTATTATACCTAATTTACCCGTTAAATTTCCATCATAAAAATATGGACCAATTATTTGTCCATTTAGGATTCCACACCAAACGTTGATGTTCCATTTAACTTGATGCTGTGTTTCATGCATCCATTCTGGATTTTGTTCTGACCAAAAATGAGAATTTCGACGATTCATTATACCATTATTACAAAATTTACTTTCATCAGTAAATAAGATTTTTGAAAAAATAAATCTATCCAATTCATACAAAACACACATTTTTGAAATAAATGTAAGTCTTTTTTTCATAATCTATTGGTCTTAATCCTTGAACCAATGACACTTTATATGGATATAACTTGTGTTTTTTTAAGATCCTATGTATAGTTTTTGACAAACCAATTTCATGTGCCAATATTCTCGTAGAAACATGTGGATTTATACTTATAGAAGCCAAAATTTCTACCTCTTGTTGTTCATTAACTACATTTTGTCTTACAGTACCAAGATCTCCATTAGGTAATCTACCTGGATTAATAAATTTAAAAAAAAAAAAATATGGCTTATATTGACTAAATTCTTAATGTTATAGGTAGATTATGAAATACCTGTTCTACGCATACAATTTTCAACATTTTGAAAAGTTTTTGGAGCTGGTGATTTTCTGTGAGGAAACCTTTGTTGATACAATGCAGCAGCCAGCCTATTACTTTTACCTACTTCACCATAAATTAATAACATATCAACATACTCAGAATTGCTATAAATATAAGGCATTTTAAGTTGAAATTAAATTTAATAGAAATAGGAATGAAGTTGTAATTTGTTCATGTGCTGTTATAAACAATATTAAATAATATTACAATATCTATGTTAATAAAATTATTAGAAGTGTTTTAGTTTTAATTAAATTATATTCGTTAAGTGTATTTTTATAAAAAATGTCAGATAGTAGAGCTTGAGCATTGTATAAGACTTTATTAATAAATAAACTGGTTTGATTAACATCCATGTATATTGCATTTAGTTATTATTTATTAGATTATGCAAATATGAAATAGTCTATTTTTTGGAACATTTACTTAATTAAATCTACCTATAAAAAGTATTTCCCAATTAATAATATATATTAAATATAAATATAAATATAAATTAAATAATATATATTATTTTTATATAATTATATTATTATATTATATTATACAACATATTAATGATCATTCAGGCTTTACACTTTATAAGGTTACAGTGGTTTTTAAGTTAAAAACAATTAAATAAAATTTTTTCATTTTTTAATCATGAACAGTTATCGTTTATCTCGGTCTGATTTGGGTTCTACGAGCTCAGTGAATGAATCGTCAGATATATTTAAAAAATATAAAAAATATAAAGAAATTAGCACGGAATTGCTTTCTGAAAATGAAGAGTTAAAACAGGTAATGCATATAGAAATAAACAATTTTCTTACTAGTTTATTAAAAAAAAATAATTATCATAAGTCATAAACTCATAACATATCATTTGAACAAATTTTTAACAATTTAATTAATGTACATCAATTTTAAAGTTCCAATCATAAAAAAAATATGGTTTTACTTTTAGGCAAAATTAAATTTAAGCCGTAAATATGAGCTGGAGGTTTTAAAGGTTTCTGATTTAGAGACGCTTAATAGTCAGTTGTTAGAGGATATAGCAAAATTGAAAACTTCTATGGTAAGTAAAATTAATTGAAATAAAACCACAATTTTACAAATAAATTATACTTAATTTTTTTATGTCATTATACTGCTTGTATACATATGATCATTATATTTGCAAGCTTTAAACAAAATTATAGGAAAATCAAAAAAAAGATTTTGATATAAATACAAAAGCTCTTCAAGGTATAGTGGATGAAGAGCATAACAAAAGACAAGAAACCAAAAAAGAACTTAACTTGTCAAAAGAGATGAACTCATCCCTAGGAAAGGAGATAATGGCATTAACATTGAAAACGGTAATGTAACAAATAATATAATAATAATAATACTGGTGTAAACGATTAACATTTTTATTTTTTTACAATGCATGCATGATGTACAATATTACAATTTTGAGTATACAAAAACAATTTGTTACTATACTAAAATAAATTAAAACTAATAAATAATAAATATGTTTACATATAATAAGTGGTGTATCTAATTAAAAAAAAAAAAAAAAAAAAACAATTTAAAATTTTAGTTTGGAGGGGACAATGTATTTTTGAATATAAAATGTACATTACTTTATTTTATAAAACGTATATTAATAACAAACTACTAAAATATTTACAAACAAAGAAGTAATTATAAAACTATTTTTAATTAATATTATTATAGCAAGAACTTCAACTTAATAAAAAAAACCAATGAGAAAATGCTAAATGAGATTATACACCATACAGTGGCAGTTGATAAAAAAGTAGACATAAACCTATATCTATTTAATGATTCTTTAAATAAAATATGATAAATTATTCACAACTGATTTTTTCTTCTAGTGTGAATCATGGTGGTGCCCTAAGCACTCGGATTTGGTAATGATTCATAAGAAGATGGCGATAGAAACTTTGAACGATAAAAAGGAGATCGATTTGGCACTAAAACGCCAAAATTACTGGTGTAGAGGCAATGAAGTAAATAAGAAAGAATTGATAACACTATAATATTTATTTGCTAAGTTATTAACTAATATTTTTTTAGATCAAATGTTGTGTGTTTGACCGTAAGACGGGGAAAGATAAACATTCTGCCCCCCCCTGATTGCTGGGTGCAATACCAAAAAAAGGTCAACACAAACAAGGACCAACAGACAAACCGGGAGAGCGAAACAATGTCTTTCGTTATTTTTGACGATGAAGGGGAAGAAATATAAAATAAGGATTTGTTAAATAAAAAAAATTGTATAAGAATGTTGAGTTCTTTTTTAATTTGTACCTAAATATCTCAATTTAAGTAAGAAACTTACTTTTGGCCATTACCTAATTTTAATTCAATAACATTCTGTTATAATGTTATAATTAGTGCTGTATCATATACATATGTATGTATTACATAATACATAATACATATTATAACCTAGGTTCTATCACTAAAGCTGAAAGTTGATGAATAAAAAAAATCAATACCTAATAATATAAGTTAACAATTTATTGACTAAATGTTCAAAACAAATAAGAGTATTATTATAATATTACGTAACGGTTTGCAACTAGCAGAGTATTCATGTATAATACAATAAACCCTTAAGTGTTTCAAGCAATTTAACCATCATCATAAGAAAGATTGATGTCACATATGTCATGTAGAAAATTTAAATTTTTTAATAAATAATATATTATGTGTAATGTCTATTTTTAGAAGAATTATTGATTTTGTAATTTATTTACTTGATCTGGTTTCTGGCAATATGTAAATCTTAAAAGGGATTTCAATTATACGTTGTATTTATTTTCTAATACAAGATCTGCAACAATTATTACAATAAATGCAATACAGATTTTTTTTTTATTATTATTTGTTTTTACAATCCATTAATATTGATAGTGGTGGGCCATCAAAAAATTAGCCATAGGCTGCGTGTTTGACATGCCCTTCTTACATTAAAATATATAAAGGGTCTTCAACCTAAAATCATAGTGAAAGATAACAATGAGAGTTAACTCATAATTTAATTTTTCTTCAATTTTATATGCTAATTCTCTTTAACCTTATGTCTCTGTTTAGTAGCATTTCTACATCTGAACATTATATCATATCAAAACCTAATTTTGTCAGTATAAAAAAAAAACACAATAATAGCTATTATATGTATTGTTAATTTTATAACATGAACATTTTTTATTTAATAATCTATAACAAATTGAGAACAATTATAATAGTTTTTAATTTTTTTTTCTGAAATTCTCATTTAAGTTGAAGGCCCCAGTCTTAAAACGTACATGACAAGTGTGACATTAATATTCCAATAATTTCAAATCATTAACTTGATTATTAAATGGATTGTTTTTTAGTAATACATAGTAATTAAGTGAACATACTTATACATATGCTATAAGATAGTCAGAAAAATACAACGCGTTTACCCACTACCAGGGATTTGTATCTACACATATTATTCAAGCTACAAAAAAAATTATAGTATTACCTTTTTTCCTGTTAAGATTATTGTAATAGGTAGGTATTTATTAAATTCATAATTTACTAAAATATTAATATTAGGTAGGTAAGTACCTGGCTAATTAGTAATTACCACAAAATTTTTTTTTTTTAAAGCTATACCTAATCTACCATTTACATTTTTTTTTTTTTATGATAAAATCAAACATTTGATTTATGTTGCTTTATATTTGAGATGAACTGGATACTATTTTTGGTCTTCTGATGGTTGTATGTAACTATGTAAGCATACTCTAAGTATGAGCGGTATAATTAGTAAGTATTAGTACCATTAAATGGCAAGGTACTAAGCAATAGTAATATGCTTATTGATTATAGAACAAAATTAAAAAAACCTCACCAAAAATACTTCTATGTTGATAACTGCTTAGCTTAGATTACCCTTCAATAAAAATAAGAATATAATACAATTGAGTTGAGTAGAAATTAGTTTAAAACAAATAATACTCACCTTAACAAAAATATTATTTTGCTATTAAATTAAAATCTTCATTATATTTTTTTTTGAAATTTTTTCTTGTTAAGTAATTTGAAGTTTTGAGGAATTGAAAATGTTATTTGATGTTTTATTTTTTGAATTTCTGTAGGCATCAAACTACTGATCAAATATTTATAAAGAATTATATCATAGTAAAATATAGTTAAATAGGTAATAAAATAATTATAACTTACCAACTAATGATAGGTAGGTAGGTACAAAATTGTTCAAATATACATATTTCCAAGAAAATCTTCAAAGAAATTGTGTTCAATCTGATAAGTCCATGAAAATATTACTCATACATTAAATACAATACAATTTTAATGTAATAGGTAGGTAGGTATTGCAAAATTTGTTTGACCCATAAAATAATATTAAAACTTTACTAAATAATATAATAGGTATTTTTATGTGTAGAGAATAATTGAAATTTAAAACACATGTTAATCTTTGTTACTTTGTAACTTTTTTTTATAAATATTAAGATATTGAGCAATTACATAATGTTTAAAAAT